TGACGTCCCTGTGTAGAATGGGGTTAGCCCAAAACAGATATAATGTACAGGCTGGTTCGGTTCAGGGTCTTTCATCTTTCATCTGCCTGCATGCAGTTTGGAGGTGCAAGATGCCTGAGCGCGTAATGCTAATTTTTACCTGTGTTCATGGAATAAATCAGCACTGTTTTGTAGTTACTTGGACTGTCTCGTCTCTCATAGTCAGTATGGTAAAAAGTACCGGATACAACAATAGGCTCATCTCCGTTTTGAATTGTAGTTGACCGCTGTCCTCCAGATGAACATATTTTGCCGTGTCTTGATAAAACAGCTCTGACCAACCTGAGCAGCTCCTACCTGCAGCTAATAAACTGGTGCTGATGAGGCTGGTGAGGCGGCAGAAACTGGGCATGCCCAGCTCGTCCCGGTGCGGAGGGCGGGGGAGAGGAGGCTGCACAGGAGAGACGGAGCAAGACGCTGGAAGAGTTGAGATTTCTTTGAGGTGTAAAAACACGACGAGGAGCTGTCAGTTTTACAACACCACGTCTGTTTCCACGTGACGTTAAACGCACCGTCTCCGTCGCTTCCACATCCTCTCAGGACACACACACACACACAAACCAGGAGCGGAGGAAGCGGATCAGTGCGGACCGCAGTGGGCTGCAGCAGACGGCAATGCAACATCTCATCGTCTCAGGCACTGGGTAAACAAACGCTGCTGCTGCTCCACAGACAGCATCAGGTTTTCTGGTGAGTCGACCGCCTTCGTGTGATTGAAGGAATGAGCTCGGTGGGTTGTCAGCTTCAGCTCGCAGCGTTTTCAACGTCGCTGGCTCGGTTGCATGCAGTAACAACTTGAGCCACGTTCAGCACAGTGAACGCACTGCATCGCACCCAGCCGGACCTGTAGGATACAGAGAAAGGTCATACACCTCTCTGATGCATCTGCGCTGCCTGAGTCAAGTTGTGCCCTTAGAGAGTCTTACCTAGAGATGAGTGTATACGTGAGAGGGTTTCAGATAACTTTGTCTGTACCTGAACACGCTCAGGTGGACGCAGAGCTCTTGTATTTTGGTGACATGTTGTATCAGATGATCAAATGAGATGAATTGTTATGTTATTTCTGATCATTTAACATTGAATGAAAGCAGCAAAAAGTGATATCCATCATTTCTATCCATCCATAGACTTTTCTGCTGCAGTACTGATAGATTAGCTGACCAAAATAAAACAAAAACTTGATTTGCAATCGTTTTAAGCATTAATGTAAAAATGTTTCTAAAATATTAACATCTTCTGGATGTCCAACTCTTTTGTGATAATAAGCTAAATATTTTGGGGGTTTGCGCAAAGCATTTCTGATAAACATTTTTAATTGTTTCATGACATTTTTTTAGACCAAACAAACCATTAATCAGTAGAGAAAAGAGAATGTAATCAGTAGAATGAAAGTAATCATCACTTGTAGCTCTACTTAATGAAATCATCCATTAGTTTTTTCTCAAAACATCCTTGGATATTTGACAGGAACAGATTAGGCTGTACGCACATGTGTGCTCTTGGTGATAAAGTGCACTGCAGAGAGGACAGAGCTGCATGACCAGTAGAAGACTCTGTGTGGTGTCCCCTTCATCAGCCCAGCAGCAAAACACAGACAGACTCAGAGACCAGCTGGTGAACATGGTTGGATCATTTAGCAGCCAAAGAGTCAGCTCAGGAGGTGGTGGAGACCAAACATGAAGCTAAAAAGATATTCATCAGGTGGACACAGGAACCACTACATGGGTGGGACTTAGACACAAGGAAACAACGCAGGTGAGGAAACACTGGTGCTTATACGAGACTTGGGATATACCCACAGATGCCTTGGTGGCCAGGGTGACAGAGTTTGGGTTCCTGTCAGTTCTTATTGAAAGATTCAGGTGACCACCCCTTTCTGTAGTCTCATGTTGTTGAGGGTGCTGAGGATGGTCTTCCCATGTCTGTTTTTATTTCATCCTACACGCCGTGCTCCTTCTCACATGGTTACTGCCTCCATGTTTTTCATCATTTGTACACAGTTTGTTCTTTTTGCTTCAAAGAACAACCTGTTTTTGCTTTTGTTTCAAGTCAGTGTAGCTGTAATGGAAATCTGAATGTGGTGTATATTCTGATCACAGTGTCCAGAGCTGAAGGCTAAGAATACGTTTTGGAGGTGTGTTAGTGGGAGTTTTTAGGAGGTGAGAGTGCTGGCAATGAAAAGGGCCTTTTAGCATTTGGATAGGCGCGAACTCGTGTGATGATGGTGATCATTTGCATTTTACAATCCTGCTGTGCTTCCCTAGAATGAGTGGTCATCTGCTGCTAGCTGCTCCAATCTTTGAGGCTTTTTCTGTCTGTTGGCTGCGGTGCAGATGGAGCGCTTTGCAGTGGCTTGGATCATGTGTGATTAATGCAGCACGAATCTGCTGTCGAGGCGCGTCCTCCTTTTTACATGCTGAAACACCTTCTGGTTTTGTCATGCTGCTCACTCGCTTACAGTGCAGGATGATTATGAGGATACAGCCTTCGTCTTGGCTCTTTGCTAACGTTTCATTGCCAGTAATTGGTTTTCCCCTAAGGCCCTGCTGAAGCGTCCAGCAGCAAGCGATATCACAGTTTATCTCATTTCAAGGGGTTTCACTGAGGAGCAGATTGTGGGCCATGTCTACTTTGCTCTTACCACCTTCACTGTAGAGATTCAGCAAATGTGACTGAGGAAAAACAGTAATGACAAACATGTTTTATACGTTGCATGCAGTAAAGAAATTACAGACCTTAACTGTGTGTCTTTATGCCTCCGTGCTAGTGCAGACACCAGAGCTCGGCTCCTCGTATCGGCCTGGGGTCCTATGCTTACAGCTGATGTCACACATTAAGATTGGCTGGACAATGGAAAGAGCAAGATGATGCTGATGATGGCTGCACAACGTCAGAAAGTGTGTGATCATTGGTGCACAGATGCCAACTGTGTGATTACAGTCACTGTAAACTTTGCACTAGTGTCTCACATCAAACATTACCCAGACAAGTCTAGCTACCTCCTCACATCAGTGTTGTGTTTGTAACGTTGATGTGAGAAATTAGTAGCCGTTCTTAGTGCAAAGTTTACAGTGAGGGTAATCCATGAATGTATTAGAGATTTATTAATAGTTTTATTAGCTGCTATTAGATATTTCCTTAAAACATCCACAGTGGATTTGCACAATGAACTGATTAGATTTTGGTGGTCAGAATTCCAAGGTCAAGATCACTGTGACTTGTTTGGCGTAGGCACACAACAGTTAGTGTGGTAATTTGTGTTGTAGGATTAGGCTGTTGCTTTGCGATGGAGCGTTAGCAGTTTGGTTTGGCTGTGTCTTTGCTATTAGGGAATGGTGAGAATAATGAAACATATTTGCAGTTAGTGTTTAAGACATGAACTGAAGATGATGCGGTATGTGCACCATGTAACTTGACAGCACTGTCAATTAACCTTAAAAAAAACTGCTTTTTGTTCAGTTTTTTTCTGATGTTTCTGAACCTGTGTTATGTAATAATTTGATTTCATCATTACTCTTTTTATTCTCTGTTATTCTGTCCTATAGAACAAAGTGCTTCATGTGTGAAACATTTCACTTGTGAAATGTCTAAAACACGTGCAAAATTTTATGGGCAACATATTTAGTATTAGTATTTAGTATTTTGATATCTGTACTTGGAAAAATATGCAGCATATCCCTGGGAGACTTTATCACGTAAAAATCCTGAAAGCCACAGGTTTAAATGTGAATTTGTGCTACAGCTGTTTGTTTCTAATGTAGTGACCAGCTCGACTTCCTCACTTCTCCATCTTGTTATTAACCAGTGAACAGTTTGGGAGGAGGGGTTCACACATGCTTGACATGTTGCCGCCCTGCAGACCAGACCACATGTCTTTAATTTTGGACTGTAACCCAGATGGAGAGGGGTCCAGACTACACAGCCACCTCCCTCTCGGGCATGTTCCTTCCCTACAGCACCTGCCATACCCGTATTGATAACTACTCCACACTGACTCAGCATGTACAGTACGTGAAAGGCAGAGGGAAGGAGGCAGGGCTAAGTGATGTGAGTGTGCTAATTGGTTGAGAATGAGCATTGATGGCCGGGGGAGGGAGGGAGGAAGACTGTGCTGGTCAGACAGGTCTGCACTGACTGCTCTGCTGGAGAGGAGGAAGGAAGGAGGCAGAGATGAGAGGGAAGGAAGGAGGAGTAACAGAAAGGATGAGACAAAATAAACCACGTGGGAGGTGTAAATCCTGTATGGATGAAGCGGCTATGAGAGGGGGAGAGGTGAGTGTGAGACTGAGATGGGAGGAGGGGAGGAAAGATGTTCTGTTTGTGTGTACCTGTTAGTGCCTCTGCGCTGACAGCTCAGGGTCGATCAGGATAAACAACCACTGAGGTCGCTGTAGCTCTGCACGATGATACACATGCTCCAGATGTGCATGAGATGACTGAATAGGTGACTAAAGGACAGAAGAAAGTGGGGCTCATCAATATATTGTGTGTTTGCGTGGGCAGGTGAGATTGTGAGCGTGAAGACATGAATGAGAGGATGTGTCAGGTGTGTGTGAAATGAAGGACTGCATATTTTAGTTTATTCAGTCTGTGTAGGCTTGTTGTTGATCCTTGTGACCGGCAACCGAGCCGCTGTAAACTTGGGCTGAGTGATCACTGTTGTATTAGGATCATTGCAACTCAAATAGCAAATATTTTAATAATCTTTTAATTGTTTCAGTCATGTTCAAACAAAAATAGCGATACAGTTCCAAGTTTGCCAGCCTCTCACATGAGCCATGAGCTGCAAGTGGCTGCTGATGGGCTGGGGAAAGGAAAGCATTTTGTAGTGTAGCCACCTGTAGATATACTCATGCAAACATCCATCCATCCATTATCCATACTGCTTATCCGGAAGAGGGTCATGGGGGCGCTGGAGCCAATCCCAGCTGACATTGGGTGAGAGGAGGGGTCCACCCTGGACAGGTCGCCAGTCTATCACAAGGCTGACATGTAGATAAGCAACCGCACACACTCACTCCTACAGGCAGTTTAGAGTCCCCAGTCAACCTAAGTTGCATGTCTTTGGACTCTGTGCGGCTCTTTCCCATGAATGTGTCTGCACCAAACTAAGAGGGTGAACACAGCTAAGCAGCAGCATTGTCAGTGGCAATGTTAGCATGCTGATGCTAGCATTTTGGCCAAATTACCCTTGTGTCCGAGTACAGTCTCAGAGCTGCTGGTGTGGCTGCAGTCTTGTCTTAGCGTGGGTAGTTCTGAGGAAAAGACAAACATGTTGTGGAAACACTTGTACAGCTTTATAATAGACAAGGATCAGCTGCATAGCAGACAACATAGTTCCATTTAGGTCAGTAAAGAAAAATGTGATCTATCTTGTTCTGCCCTTCTTTATTCAGTAAGTCAAGGTAGTGAGTGCAGGAGTTGTGTAGGCAGCGAGGTCATAGCTAGTGTGCCTCTGATAAATGTCTCTCCCTGCTCTTCTCCACCAACAAGCCTCTCTGCATCTTCCCTCTCACACACTTTTTGTTCTTCTGCATGAGTCAGAGACCCCATCTCTTTTGTCTGAGTGTGCCTTTGAAGGCAACGTCTGAAAAGAGAGAGAGGAAAGCTGGAGAGCGAGACAGCCTTGTGACAAACGCACAACGTCATGCTTCTATATAACAGCTCTTTAATCACAGCTTGGTTTGTCATGTTTCAGTACAGTGTGAGTTGAGGTTCCCTGAGGTTGAGTAGTGCATTGTGGGTGTGACATTGAGCCCTCATTCGTTTCTCTGGAACGGCCATGTGATGTAACCTACTTTAATATTGGATATGAAGAAATCAATAGTATCTTCGATCAGTGAGGCTGGGTGGCTCGTGTTGCTGTGTGAGTTTCCCTGAATAACCCTTGTCGCCCTTAAATTATACACAAACACTCATAGTCTGCCCAATACCTAAACTTCACAACCTGTCATGTTGCAGAAATGATAGCTGCTAGTGCACGGTGCCAGCAGGCTGAGAGCTAATATTAGCACGAGGCCCCCTCCACACTCCACCACCAGTCCCACCACCCAGGGAGCTAATATTAGAGCTACAGTTTAATTACCTGGGTGATTTGACTCGCCACTACCCGATGGAGTTTATACTGTACATACTGTATGTGTGATTCCCTGTGTATCTGTGTGTCCTTGTGTTAGCACTGTGACCTCAGAGGACAACAAGAAGATGAGTCATCAGTGCTGAGCTGCTGGGCCTTTTTGTTTATCAAAGTGTGACTAGCTGCTGCTTAAGCCTTTCACATCTCGTCCTTCAGTTACACCCTTTGCATCTTTTTATTCCCAAGGTTTATTCATTGAGTATATTTTCCTGTTATCCCAACCTAATGCACCAAGCTGACAAAAGGCGCACACATAAATGAAGGATCAGAGGAAAGGACATCTCATGTCAGTTAAAACATGTTCCCTCATCTCTCTCTCCTCGAAGTTTGTCTTTGCATCTTTTCCTTGTGCCTTATGTGGGTGGGACTAAGACACAAGGAAAAGATGCAAGTGAAGGAAACACAGATGCAATTAGAGGAATTGGGATTCACCTTGTGGGGAGAAGGGAACTGAGGAAACACAGATGTTCTTTCTTCCAATCCTTTATGTGAAGCGTCCAGTCACAAACTGATTTCCAACAAAGAGGCAAGTCAATCCATAATGGACTTCTGTGGAGGATTCACTCGTGTATCCTCGGTTACAGCTCCTATCTCCAATGTAGAAAATACAGAAACAAACAAACAACTGTACTGATCAAGAAGGTGTCTGAACGTTTTACTGGCTCGGTGTGAATGTCAAGTAAATGCAGCACAGTCAAAATGTATATGGAGTTGCTCAAAGTAACTGTAGTTGAGTACCTGAGCTAGTGCACTTCTGCCACTGCTGCACTCATTTTAATATGAGCATCTACACTTGGTAAATACTGTAGTATGTTAATGGAGTGCAGACAGGTTTCCATGTTAATTAATGTGCAGATTTAGCTAACTCATTGTTCTATAAATCAGGCAGCATGTGGCAGGTGGTGAGTGGTAATGGTCTGTTTGTGTTGTAACTCCTGTCACAGCAGTGATGGGCCATCTGAGCTGGTGCCAAGTTGGACAGATGTCAGAAAAGTGAAGGGAATCACTGCAGCACCCAGGATGTGAGATTAGAGTGTGGATCAGGGATTGTGGCTACATCTCTGTCAAATGGAAATATTTAACGTGTCTTGTGTACCACTTATTGCACATTTCTGCTCAAAACGTCAGCCTGATATTTGGTATATTCAGAAACTCTTACAATTTTAATCACTATAGATGCTATTTTGTAATTTAGATGAACAGTCACTCTAAGCTTTCTGGCTGCAGAAGAAGAGGGTTGCGTTTGACAGTTGTGTTGGTGCTTCCTGTAACTCTACACTCCCATCAGTTCAGCTGACTGCCAGCACAGCTCTCTCCCTCACAGAAACACCTCCCTCATCCCGCTTTCCTTTCACCCTATCTCATTTCAAAAAGCTGTTCTGTGCTCAGGAAACAAAACTGCACCAGTAAATAAATGAAGAACTGCCTTGTACGTAGTGTGGCGCCTACATCAGGTGCTCAGTGCAACATGCACAGAACTCCAGCTTCAGGAGAGGCCAGAGTCCACCTACTGCTTTGTATCTGTGAATGAAGCATCACACATGCAGAAGAGTTTTTACCTTGCAATCCCTATAAGGTAGAATGGCAGCTACAGCGATACCTTCTAGATTGCACAGCCTTTTTTGGCATCTGATAACCTTCAGACTCAAGGAGCTGCTGCTCAAACTGAATATCCTGGGCTGTGTTTCATCCTCTCACAGGTATGGGAAACAACATGCCCACACAAGTGCAGTCCTTTGCATTTTTGCTATTTTGCTTAAGTGGTCATTTGGACAAAAATCAAACTTAGGTCTGTGGCTTCATCTCTTGGCCAGCTCTGTCACATTTCTAATGTAGCCAAGGAGCCACGTCATCTTCCTCACACCTTTATAGACAATGGGACCCCATGGAGCCACCAACAACTGGACAAAGGCCTCTTTGTGAATGGTGTAGCTGTGGGAACAGTAGCTCTGAGGTGTTAAATGACAAAAAGATAGTGTGTGACAAGTGGAGAGGTAGTAAAGGTTGTTTGGTAATTGGAGAAAAAGAGAAACATTTTATTGCATTTTAAATTTAGCTAAAGTTTAAGTAAATGGCTCATTTTGAATCTAAGGTTCCAAATTTCAAAAAACAAATGCAAATCCATGCAGAGATGCTGGGTACAGTAATGAGGAGAATTTGTTAGATTGAAACATCATTGGGGGTCAAGGGGGAAAAGTTACTCACCTTGTGTGCCAACACAACACACAGTTTCTCTCCCACTGTTAACATAAGGCAAGTCCAATCTGTCGCTGCTGGCAGCAGTCTGGAGTTTATCGTCCTTGTTTGAGTGACATTTTGTTGTCTGCGTCATCACTGGTGTGGAAGTCGAGTAGCCACCAAGGGATTTAGCTCAACGAGGAAGAAGTGGCTCAGGTGCAGGATTAAACTCGGAAGACATTTCTGGGGTAAGAGTTTGGCGAGGTTTGACAGATATGGGTTGGTACTGATTTGAATATATCCTTGGTGTCACTGCAGCACCAGTGTCACAGCGATTCTTAAAATAAAATCTGATTTTCCATTTGAGCCTGTGTATCCTCTTACACTCAGTAAACCACACTCAGTTCCTGCCATAGGTTTATTTCTGAATGCTGAGCGTTGTTTTGTTCAGAGTTTAGATCCAGCTCTGTCACCAGGTCTTATCAGTGTTTAGTCAAAGAGCAGAGGAGGAAGTGAGGCGCAATGTTCTGCTTCGTCTTCCAGCAGGATGAAAGTGTTCCCTCAAGTTCTCCCTGACACCTTGTAACTGTTACACACCTGCTACAGTACAAATCCTAAAGGCAGGAGTCAGTCAGACACACAAGACTGACACTAAGAAAAATTCTAATTATGATCAAAAAGAAGTAGCTTGTATGTCAATCTAATTTCAGCAGTGCCACCAGAGAAATGAGAAGGGTTTCATCTGAATGTATTAAGAGAAATGTTTGGATATAAAAAACTAAGAACTCCTCCTTTCTTCCATTCACAGGATGAAGGATAGGGAGCTGTTGGAGGTGTCCCTTGGGCATGTTTGTCCTCTGGCCGTTCAGCCTGTGTCTGGGCTCTGCACACAGATGCTCTGGGAGGGAGAAGAAAGACCAATTAAAAATAAACTGACATACACCACCAGCAAAAGAACAGAAAACAAACCAACAAATTAAAAAAAAGGACAAAGAAGAAGCTCTCTTTGTTTGTGTCTCTTTCAGCCTGTTTGACCCTCTTTCTGCTCCATTTCGATTTTTCTGTCCTCATTACCTGCCAACGGGGGGGTCATGTCCCATTCTGGAAAAGTCCTTCGTCTCTATGTGGAAGTGAGGTCTGCCCCAGATCAGAATGGAGGGAAAGGGGCATTTGGAGAAAAGGAAGAAGAGGTTGCCCCGGGGCATTCAGTTCAGGACAGTCCTGCTGAGCTCCTGTCTCAGCTGGCAAGCCAGACGACCTGCCAGACTGTCAGTAAGTCTGCAGCTCAACATCTGGTTCAGGACTGCACACACAGCCAGTCTCCATCTCAAAACACCGTTAGCTCTCAGCTCCAGCAAGCCAGCCACTCTCCACCAGTGCCCTCTTCTGAAAAGATCACTGCCCCTTGCACATCTCCCAGCTGCCGAAGGTTTAATGAGGGAGACGTCAGCAACGGGAAGCGGTCTGTGGTCACCTTCAGTTATATTGAGAAGTCGAATGTGAAGACTGTGGGAAGTCCACGCAACTCTGTGTGCGAAAGAGCCACCAAAGAGGAAGGATTAACCCCGTCCTGCTTTCAAAAACGCCTCAGCGACCCAGTTTGGTTCGGGAGTCCCAATTCATCGTGCGGTTCCAGTCCCAAGCTGACTTTCCAGTCACCAGGAAGTCACCAGCAGATTTTCTCCTCCAGCCTTCGACATCCATCCCTAGACCCTATCGGCCGGGCAGCTACTCAGAGGGCTGTGGAGGAGTTTGGCTCCCCTTTGTTGAGGATTAAACTAGCCCATGCACTTGAGGACATGTCTTTCTCACACTATAACCAGCACCCACGCTGTCAGTCCTGGGCTGGGTCTCCTGTTCACCATCAGAAAATCAGCATAAACCCTAAAGATCATGTCACAGAGAGGAGCCAGGCAATTTGTGGGCTGCCTCGGAGTCCAGCGTCAGACCAGCTATCCTTCCAGTCCAGGCACTCTTCTAACTCCAGGCTAGGCTCCTGTGTGGAGTCCCATAGTCCTCGCTGGTCAGGAGAGGACAAACCTGTTGCAGAAAGCCCATCCACCAAAAAACATGTTCACAGGGCTTGTAACAGGAGCACTTCACCACAGGGAGCAGTCCTCCATATTGGCAATAACATAATCGAGGGCCTGAACCAGTTAAGTGACAGCAAATCCTCCTCTCCAGCTCATAGCCCTGAAGCTGCCCACAGGCTGGGACAGGAGGCCACCAAAGGATCTTCTGTTTTCATAGAGGCAAAGAGGTCCTCATTGCACAATGCTTTAAGTGAGCTTTCAAGCAGCTCAAACCCTGGAGAATCCCACAGTTCAGTTCCCAGTGCACAACAGTATAAGCAGACTCTTAAGATGAACATCCCTTTAAACGAGCAACACATGCCAACAGCTGACAACACAGACTCTCACCAGCCTGAAAAGTCTATCTTACCGTCCCATTCACACAAAACAAACTCCCTTACTAATTCTGACACACACCAGGAGGACTGCATTCAGAAATCCCTGCAGCAGTGCTCAATACTGTCAGCAGCTCGGAGTTCCCCCGCCCTTCCCTCACGTGTCCTCCGTCCCACTCATCCACCCAATGAGTTCAGCTCTCCCTTGAGGGACCCCAGGCTATCCCAGTCTGAGCTCCGAGCACTGGATACTCCCACCTTGCATCGGCGTCAGCCCCCACAGTACACCGGAGGCTCTTGGCACCCGAGCCTAGATGGGAGAGGAGACCTGAGCTGTTTAGAGAAAGGGGACTGTGCCGAGCTTGCTCGTAGGCTCTTCATCAATCAGAGAGTTGAGGAGGCACCCATTAGCTGGACGTCCAGGCAGCATTGGGGGATTCATGTGGAGAGCAGCCCAAGACCAAGCCTTGGGACTGGAACTGGGTCCAACAATGAGCAGACTGCTGATCATCAATCCAGTCACCATCCCAAGCCACTCAGCCCCACAGCCCAACAGAAACGGGCTGAGCTGAGGAGGAGAGAGATCCTGTTGCTGGGACCAGTGGTGCTGGACTCTCCAGAGGAGGACGAGGGTTGTGATGAGGAAGAACAGGGAAACGAGATGGAAGAATATGGGGCAGGCCAGCAGCCGCCCCCGCAAAGGGGTGAGGAAGGGGAGGCAGAGCAGAATGGAGCCATGGTAGGGTCGTCCTCACGGAGCTCCAGTGGGGTGACGGGCAGTCTGGGAGACAGGGACTGTGTGTCCCCAGAGAACAGTCAGTCCAGTCACCACAGCAATGAGACTGGGGTGGCCACCTCAGGAATACAGGTGAGTACTGGGCAAACCCACACTGCTACATATTACACTGTTGTGATGATTATAAAACTGCCTTATAAAGATGTTAAGTTTAAGGCACATGTGGCAAACTCAAGGCCCGCCGGATCATTTTATGTGGCCCTCTAAAGATTAAAATGCATATGGTTGTCTTAAAATAAAAGTCTATACTAATTGAAAAATGTACACTGACCATAAACTACATCTCCCACAATGCATGTCGATTTCGGGACCCACGAAGTACTGGCATCCCGCCACTAGATGGCAGTATTTTGCCTATTGAATTTAATTAGCAACTTTCTGACAAGTGGAAATGAGAAATACCAACAGTTAATCCCAAAATTTCCAAGAAGAGAAACGTTGATGCAGAAGGAAGGCAATTTAACGAAAGGTGGTAAAGCGAATATGTGTTTCTACTTCGAAGGGGAAACCCATGTCTTTTGTGTCACGAGGCGGTGTTGGTGGTGAAGGAGTACAATATGCGTAGGCATTTTGAGAGCAAACACGGAGCTAAGTATGCTAATTGTAGCCTCCAAGAAAAACAAATTGTCTAAGAATTAAAATACAGACTGCAGTTGCAGCAGGAAGTGTTCAAAAAAGCTACAGCAAAAAAAAAAAAAAAATTAAAAAAATTATGCCAATGTTGAGGAAGAAAAATTGAATTGAATTTTTCAAACTTAATTTATTGTGGAAAAAGTTGTGGCAGTCTGTTCAAATTCATATTTCTGGTTAAATCATTGTCAGATTTAGACTGCTCAATAAATGTCAATCCTGTTTGACTGTGATGTAATGTTCGGCCCCTTGTGTGATTGACCTGATCTACTTTGTTTTTATGGTTCAGACGGACAGTGGCAGTGCAGCGCCCGTACCCTCACTCCACTGTCAGAGGATAGCACGTGCCAAGTGGGCGTTTTTATTCGGGACCCCTGCTGAGGAAGCTGCTGGCAGGGGGGAGAAAAGTGAGTGCACGTCAGTGCCATATACTGCCCATGATCTTCTCTGTTACACCATACCTTCTTCATTCTTCACAAGTGAATATTCCCTTGAGATCTGCTTGTCAGCATGACTATAGGTGATTTATGGCAACATATTCAGATTTAATTATATACTTTAATATTGTTGGGTATCATTTGAAATTTATTATACCAGAGTCTTGATACCAGACCAGCAGCAATATTAATTTTCTTTACAAAAAACCTTAATGTTAAATGTTGTTTCAGCACAAGCAGCCAGACAACAACGAACATGAAATAAAAGGCAGCCTAAATCCAGTAGGGATGGGCAATAGTTTTCGAATATTGGAATAGTCATTAAAGTAAAAAAAAGTAATATTTCATGTGACTATGGAGCTTTCTTTAAAGAGGCAGTGAATATCAAATAGCATTTTAGTTTGAAATGCACATCCCTATTATCCAGAGCCTGGTACAGTATATTGTATTTCTCTTTGTGTCCCAAAACTACTAAAACAGTTGTGAGCCACACTGTTGCACTGAGTAACATGTTCCTTCATCACCATGAACACACACTGTTGTTTATTTTGACTCAATCCCATATACCATGTCCACAAATACTGACTGCATAGAATGTGGATTAATCTGCCAGTGAAAATAGTCCACAACAAATGCACTCTTTAGTCCTCTTTTGAGTAGCACGACAGTGTCCAGGTGTATTTGTGACTATGTAATGTAGGACACTGGGCTACCTATTAGATGAAGGAAGTGATCTAAGTATGTTTTCTGTGTGGTTAGAACAGGGAATTACCAAATATAGTTGTATTATTAGTCACATTTTTCAAATTATTGAGGTAAAATTTCATGTTCTATCTCTGCAGATTCTCTAGAAGCCTCCACAGCCCCTCCTAGTGGTAACTCCAGCGAGTCTCCCACCCCAACTCCTCCCTCCTCCCTGCCTCTGCTTTCTGCCAATCATGAGGTGCAGCATGTGGAGGTAGAGCTGGTGACCCCTCCCCCGGCCATTATCGGGACATCACCCAAAACCGGCATCATTCGCCGGACGTTGAAGTATTCAGAAACCGACCTGGATGCTGTCCCGCTTCGTTGCTACCGTGAGACAGACATAGATGAGGTGCTGCTGGCTGAGCAGGATGATGCCGACTCTGCATTTGGGAGTAACCGCAGTGTGCAGGGCACGTCAGGGACAGGCAGCAGCCCTCTGGGAGGTCTGGCTTTTGGGAGGACAGATGTGGAGGAAGTAGAGGAGAGGAGAGGGGGAGAGGAGGAGGAAGAAGAGGAGGAGGACGATGAAGAAATGGTGAGCTGGGCCAGTGTGAGGATGCAAGGGGACAGCAGGAAGCAGCAGTATGCAGCTCAGGAGGAGCCAGAGGTGTTTGGGCACCTCCTGAAGAGGTGAACACACACTCAGAGTGCAACATCGCGTGGTGGAGCAGGATTTTTCCCTGACCCATATTTTGATCTGAATTTGGATCTCACCTAAACATGATTGGTGGTGTTTCTGCATTAAATACACACATGTACAACACACAACAGCTACAGGTTGACTGTCTTATTAGAAGTATAGTTGAAGCACCTTTCTCTAGATCTTTTCTTTATAAACACAGCTGTGTTGTTGCAGTGTTACTAAAACCTCCCTCTCTGTCCAGACCAATGGAAACGTTTTTCGACAACCACCACCCAGCCCTGAAATCCCCCATCTTAGTCTCGGGTCCTCGCTGTGCTACAGAAGACACCTTCAGCCGCCACTTTGAGTGCATCATGGAGTCTCACCGAGCCAAAGGGACGTCGTACAACAGCCTGGACAGTGAGGAGCTGCTGACCTCCAGCACCCAAACTGTCCTGACCTTTGATCTGCCCACACTGACCCCTGCCATCCACGGGCCAATCTGCCAGAGCGCCAGGCAGATAGTCCAGCTCAGCTTTGCTCCACTGGCACACGATGAGAGGCCCAGTCTCTCTGATTCGATCTTAACTGTAACTGGGGACTCGGACGCCACCAGAGCCCCCTCCAGCGAGAGGCTGAGCAGCGGGTCAGATGATACACCGCCCAGAGGACGACAGTGTGCACAGCTGGGGAGCAGCTGGGACAGCAACCCCTCTTTCTCTTTAATAAGGTGAGTTAGAATGTCAGCTTGTCAGCCATCAACTTTTGGTAGGAACATGTTAGGAAACCGTTGCCTGTTTACATTTGGACTCTGGCCAAGTGTGCACTGGGTCCAGTATTCACTTTTCTTGTAGTTCTGAAATATTTTGCTTTTTCCTGCTAAATGTCCAGTGTGTTCACGGACTAGTTGCTAACTTTTCCTGTAGATTTATCAGAGGTCTTTCACTTAACAGCTTCCTACTGCTGCTGGAAATGCTATCAGTGAGAGTGTGAGTGAATAAAACTAGAGGCAGTGTACAGAGCAGTGCTGCAGTGATGTTCTGGAGCTGAGTAGCTTAGAGTGAAGGTCGCTATAAGGCTGCCTGTGGTCCCTCTGCTGTCTACCATTCAGGATGTGTGTGTCTGTCCATCTGTGTGTGTATGTTTGAGTGTGATCATGCATGTGTATCTGTAGGAGTTTGTTCCTGGGTGTATATGTGAAATGCATACTTTGTGTAGATATTTGTCTAGGTGTGTGTGCACAGGCAGGTGGCTGCCGCAGCAGTGAGGGCTTCACCTTGACTGTTAGAGGTCCAAAGACTTCATATAGACTCATCACTGATTCCCATTTGCAATGCAGGAGGCTTTATTTTATACCTAGAATACTTTGGCAGAGATCTGGGACAACATTCTGGCTAGCTGCTACTCAGGTGAGGTAGGCTGGCTGTGTAAATGTCACCCTAACCTAGGGGGACAGTACTGCAGAGGTGGAGTGACTGCACTGGGTCACCTTGTTGCATTGACCACTAGATGGCAGAAGAGGACAGCAGCCAGGTTACCAAGTGCTTTTCACTGAGGTGCTAAATTTCAGCATCAGAAACAAAGGTACAGCTGGGTGACAAGTGAAAGTAAAATCTGTCTCCTCTGTTGGAGTGAGGAAACATCATTCTTTCCAAGTAGATTCCTTTATTGTGTCCAACACTTTTTCTCAAGAAGCCATTCAGTGACCTAGAGCTACAAACATTAGGCAGTTCATTGATAGAAAATTAAGTGCCAAATATTGTGAAGCAACAGGGAAATAGAAATATTGTCACCAGCATGTTCTGGTTCCACCTTCCACCTTTAATGTGAGGAGCTGATGCTTTTCTTTGTCAGATGTGAGAATAAAATGAATATCTTTGATTGGACACAACAAGATGTGAAGATACTCTGGAAACCCCAAATGGGCTATTTTTGTAAGGGCTAGTTTGAGTTTTATACCTTCACAGTAAGGACATTTTGGCTTGCACACCTTCAGAGGGCTGTTTGGGGGTTAAGCCTTGGTTTTACATGGTTCAGCTTAGAACTAGGTTCAGCCTGGGGTCATGATAACTGTTGTGGATATGCATTTAGCTATGGTGGTTGAGGTTACAGTAAAACACTAGGGAATGCTTCGGTGAGTGTCTTCACAAAGCAGTATAAATGTCCATATTAGTCTTGTTGTGGGGACGTTAATTGTTTACACAGTACATTGCGCAGACTTGTTCTTTGTTTTAGGGACCAAAAAATGAGTCCACACAACGTAAATCGTTACATTTTTGTGTGACAGCTAAGGTTATCTTAAGGTTAAGGTATGGGTTAGACAAATAGGAAATCAGTATGTGTCTGTGTGTTTCTGTCCCAGAAAGAAAGCCAGCCTCAAGTTCCAGCTGATTAATGTAGAAATGCTTTGTTAAAGTTTAAAACTAGCTTTAAATCAGGTTCAGTCTATTGTCATGATTTTGTAATTTAATTACATTACATTTAAAAATAATCTCATACTTTAACTTTTAGCTTTTTCTCAACCTTCTGATTAAACTCTTCATATTTATAAAGAGGCCAAACCACACTGAGCGTGTAAAGGTAAATGCTTGGTCGTCACTGATCTTATTGAACTATTATCACTGTGCAATCTGAGACGACGAAACAAATATTTCTGAAGGCTTGTCCATACTGTGATAAAAGCTGGAATTTCACTCCACTAACCCCTCCTCCTCCTTCCTTCACATCACTCTTTTCAGATGATCTGTACAATGAGACAGTGGCTTATTGTGCAGAGCTGCCCTGTGGACTGAGAGCGGGTTCATTTACGAGAGGAAACTGTTAAAGCAGAGGCCGACTCTGGGAGTGCTCTCAGCACTGTGCTAGCTCTTGATAAGACAATGCTAACAGGTGGCCTCAACTAGAGCCTCAGGCTTTGTCGTATGATTACGAACGCTCGTGCAGGCCCTGATGAAGTGTGTGCTGTAAACAGACTACACATTGGCCTCGGGCATGAACAAAAGGCCACCTCTTCTCTCCCGTATGGTTATAGAGGAAACAGTTTAGAGGCACACACCCGGTGGATATCAAGTTTAAACATGATGTCGTTTATCTTTGTTTTCTCTGTTGGGGTGCTAAAAGACCCACATACTGACTGTGTGTAACTGGAGATGCAGAGAGAGAAATGAATGGAGGGTAGAAAATGAAAGAAGGGGGACTTTTAGGCAAGACACGCCAAGTTTCATGCCATGCTTTGAATCCAAGGTTAGTAGGGGACAGTGAGAGTTTACACAGTGGAACAGAGAGGGAGGAGTGAAAAGAGGGAACAGGAACAACAGCAAACAGACTCAGAGGCAAAAAGATAGGGAAGGAGAGGCACTGTAGGACAAACAGCTCTTTTACCTCGGGGAAAGGAGACTTGCTGTGAAGCTCAAATGACAGCAAACACAGATGGAGAGAGAGGAATGGAAGAAGAAAAACCCATGAAGCTTCAGTCAGACTCAAAACCGAGAAACAAATGTTCAAACCTGCGGGCCTCTTGGGGGTGAGGACAGGTATTCCTCTGCATTAGCTCCTGTTTCCTGGACTCGACTGAGATGTATTCAGGTTCTGAGACCAGGAGGAGAGGAGGGTACAGTCGGGCGAGCAGCCTGAGGCGAGGTGCCAGTCAGGGGACAGCAATGAGGCCACCCTCTGTCTTCTGCTGCCATGGTTCGTCTGCAGTCAGTGAGGAGAGGCATATGACAGTTAGGCAGACTTGCCACAGGTAGGTCCCTGCACAAGAACCTGTCTCACTTGTCTGTCGTGGTGAGAGGGTTTGAATATTACATTTGACTAGAAGGAAAATTCAAATGATCTTTGGATGTCAGGAGCTAGGCAGACTGAGTGTATGTGCTGTCTGTTCACTTACTTTTACAACAGATAGAGCAGATCTCATCTGGGGAAATGATGTGACTGTCGCTCTTGAACCCAAAGGCCTCTGTATTAAACCTGCCATACTGACTTGTCTTATTTTAGCAATGCTAAAGTGACACTGCTCTAGGGAGGTCAGTGCTACTCTGTCTGTGGGTCCATAATTTTAGTCCAGACTATAGTCTGTTTATAGGCAATTCATAGTTGTTCTCTGTGGGGGACATGACACTGTGGCCTTTATTTTAAACACCATGCGTGCAGTCTGTTTGTGTCCTAATGTCTTGGAAAGAGGACATCCTGAGCTTTCTAGTGCTGTCATACATATTGGTGTGTGGCCAGCAGATCACATGTTTTGTCTTTTTAAAATGGCAGCAATTGCAGCAAGCATCTTGTTTCTTCTGGGTCTCAGGAGGATAAACATATGGCCAGCACATCATATGAAGCCACAGTACTGAGAATACAGGTGCAGCCATCTTGCTTTTGTGATGCATTTTGCAACCAGATTGTAGCTGCAGTGTCCGGCCACCAATCAAGGCTGTCAATCATCTGAAATCTTTCCCTTTTTATTTTACCAATAGCTTTGCTCAAAAATTACATTTGTACACATTACAGTGTGATAATGTCTACCTAATGACAGAACTCTCCTTTGGGAGCAATGTATTTGATTTGTGTTTTTAATTTTTAGTTTGGCTCATGTCTCAACTGCTAACATGGAAGGGGCTGGTTTTATGACCTATACTGCAACTAGCCACCAGGGGGCAAACAACTTGTGGTGGGAGCTGTCGCATCTTCCATATTTATATAGTTTATGGTACAGAAACTGGTGATCCCCAGAAGATGAATCCTGATATGTCAGCTGTACTTTGTGTGTACTGCTAATTGGCAGATGTTAGCATGCTAACATTTTCTATTAAATGATGAACATTATGCCTGATAAACATCAACATGTAATGAGCACATTGTTGTTAGCATTTCCAGAGCAGGTAGCATGACTGTACACTCCTAGTCCTGTTCCACTGTGTACTCTGTGAAACCAGAGTTGATCCCTTGTCGGTTTGTTAACCAGTCATCTTGTGTTATCAATTACTGTTTGCGCTGGTGTGATTTTGCCTGACTCATGTACAGTAAAAGGATGTGTAAATGTGGGCAGCAAAGCCTTGGGACTGTGTGTTTTCTTGGCTTGTTCCTCGTGCTGAGAAAACCAAATGGGAGCTCAGCTTGTTCAGGAAGTGTTGCTGTGCCTTTCTTTTTGCTGTTGGACTGTGTGACCAGAACGGTCACACAGCTCATGACGACAGCAATCAATGTCAGCATCACGTCACATTCTAAATAAATGAAATCAGAAACCTGGTTTCAGTCAGAGGCCAGAAAAATAGCTCTCTTTTAGCTTAGTGTGACATACCATGCTTAAATTATAATCACAGATTAGTTCTGAATAAACTGAGCGTTTCTGAACTGGTTAATGCTTGGAAGGGACTTGATTAGGGAGTGATAATGAGAAAGCCAGGAAGCTGGCAAAAGAGATTTTCACTGTTGTTAATAAAGCCTGTAATCATGCCAAATGTGGGGTATGACTATATAAAGATTTGTATTCATTTAGTTGTGTCTGAAACTACATTAAGAATATATGCTTTGTTTACATATTTGCACTCATCCATGACTGTTGTCTGCACCTTTACTTTTCTCCTTCCACACTCCTCACCCACTCACTGTTCACCATGCCTGTTTTTAAGACTTATTCAATTTAACAGATATTCCTCCTCCTTTTAAGCTACTTTTTCTCGATGAACCTGCTGTTTTCATCCTCCCCTTAGATATGTTACTATCCTTGTCTTAGCCACAAATGTTTGTAAAATCAGTGCAGCATAATCAGATATTAGTATTATTAAATTATTGATTTACTGAAGTTATTAGTTGTGTTATTATAGCACCATCATTCTTTCTTCCTCTTTTTACTTTTTGTCCCTTTTCAATTATTTACAATCTCTGTTGATGGTTTTCTCTGTCTCTCTTTGACCCAGGGTTCATTTATTTTCTGTTTCTGTTTTTAATTCTTTCTACGGCCTCTCACCCCTCCTCCACCCGCCCTCTCAGCAGGGAGAAGGCCCGTCTGGCGACGGATTCGGAGCTGGACCAGGACCAGGACCTCAGTGACAGACTTGGTCTGAGCAGAAGCGACACCTTCACCAACGGCAGCCACCCAAACGCCAGCCACCGTGCCGATGTGGCAGCCGCCAAACGCCTCGCCAAACGTCTCTTCAACTTGGAAGGCTTCAGGACGTCCGACGTAGCACGCCACCTCAGCAAGAAGTGAGCCACCAAAGGGGGTTTTGTGTTGTGGGAAAACTTAAGTGTCTGAAATGTCACTTAAATGTATTCTCGTTTGAGCACATTGTAGTAACCACCTACCAACACCCAGGCACATGTAGTATTCATGGAGATGAATTTAAGATGTGGTCAAATAACCCAGTTACCACATACAATGCTCCATTATGTGGGATCGTATGTTTATTTAATCAGTGCTCATGCCATGTAGTTTCAAGAGCACATTCTGAAGTCTTCCATTGCAGTGCACTTCGATCAGTCTGTCAGCTGCTGACTTGTGCTGATGAGAGAATCTGGTTTCTTCACTTTCTGACAGATGCACCCTGGGAATCTCCTCGTTCTTTTTTTTCTTTTCTTTATGGCCCAAACTCAGGCCATTCGCTCAGCTAAGAAAACTGACATTTGAGCGTATGATTGACATAAGATAAAATACTTTGTCACTGTATAAAAAAGCATACAGTGAAATTTCAGTGTGTGTGTAAATAAATATGTATATTGCTCAAATGTGTTTCTCAGTTAACATATAGAGTATATTACACATACATGTTCACAAAGAGCTGTAGTCAGAAAGGTCTTTTGACATTTTGTGCTTTTATAATCACTGTCTGTTTTTGTCTCTTCTTCGTGTTCGTTATCTATTGCTATATTGCTTATATGTTACTTTATATCTGTCTGTCTACAGTAATGACTTTAGCCATATGGTGGCAGAAGAGTACCTGAGTTTCTTCAACTTCACTGGTCTCACCCTGGACCAAGCTTTACGGTGAGATCACACAGTGCACAGTATAGTTCCTGTGTAAAGTGAAGCCAAGATAGTAAAATATTCCTGCCAGTTTATACAAAACAGTACTATATAATTGTTTAATGTTAAATGTATGTTAGGCAAATCACCACCCATAGTCCAGAGACTTTGTATTTTCCAAATACATTCTTGACTGTTTACACGTTTAAGCTGTGACTGTGGTGCAGTCATTTGTGCTTCTTCTTCACCTGACATTAGTATTAACACAGAGGTGTGTATGATGGTGGCTTTGATTTGGAGCTGCACCTCCGATGTCTTAATGCTGTTAGTATGTAGGGGATGCTCTCCGCTGTTAAACACTGCCCTCTAGAGGGCAGCTCTGGCCTCATGTTAAGAGTGAAACGTACTGAGATCGTTTACTTACTACTGTAAATGTGGTATAGTACAATGTAAAATACTCTATTACAAGTAGATAAATCCTGCATTCACATATTTACTTAAATAAAAGTACAGATGTATAACATGCAAAATGTACTTAAGCTATTAAAACTACTCAGACTTCTGTCATGTTATATTACAGCATGTGTCAAGCTGTTTAACTATTTTATTTCTTTTTACGTAGTTCATTCTGGAAAAATCCATCAGATACGTAGCAAGTACAGCTGTCAGATAAACATAATGTAGTCAAGAGTATAGTATTTATCTCACTTATAGGGAAGTGGAAGTATAAAGTAGCATGACATTAACACATTTAAAGTACATGCGCCTCAAGATTGTACTGAACTACACTACATGAATAGTTGCAGCTAATTTGATTACATAACATTATAATTTATAATCTGTATTTGCTACAGCCTCAGTTTAAAATTGAGTAATAAGGTAAACACATAAATTATCTTAAACTGTAGCTTGTTTAAAATTGAAGGAAATTTTTTGTTCTGTGTATTTTTGAATAGCTATATTTTTAAAAACGTATCCATTGGACTGTGAGGACATTTTCCTCCTGTAACGGATGGAGCAGAAATGTGCTGACCGTCCCTGTGCTTGTGTCCGCAGGACTTTCCTCAGGCAGTTTGCCCTGATGGGGGAGACTCAGGAGAGGGAGAGGGTGCTGTCACACTTTTCTAGGCGTTACTTGGACTGCAACCCAAACGTCATGCCATCAGAGGGTGAGTACTGCAGAGAAGCATTCTCTTTGCCAGCAATGGAAAAAATAACTAAATAGCTGAACATTTAATACACCAGTAATGAGCTCTGACTCCAGTACTTCAGTGTAGGAATAGGTGTTATACAGAGCTGTTATACAGTACATTCACTGGTGGACAGTGACTGACACGTAAATACTATTGACTGAAGTGTTCAGTCAACTTTAGAGGCTGCATCGCATTATGCTGACAGATATTTCTATTTATCCACCTCATATATATTTATGATGGAACCACCACTCTATGTACAGACCAACAGCACCTCAAACTACATCCTACATGTTGACTTGACACCTCCCTAAAACAAAATACTGAAAGTGTAACATTTATGAGCAAAGTATCAGAGCTACTGCAGAGTTAAGTAATATAACAGCCAAAGTAGTTGTATAATTAAATGATGTGAGATTTAGCAGTGAAAGCTAACAGACTATTTTCATCCTGTAGACGCGGTCCACACTCTCACCTGTGCCCTAATGCTGCTGAACACTGATCTACACGGTCAAGTGAGTACAAACTAGTGTGCATCAGTGAGCCTGCAGTACATGTGTGGACATGTAAAAGAAACACACTGTGCAGTACAGCAGCTGTTGTAGATAAGTGTGCTCAGTTAGGCAAATTAGAAACAAAGAAAAGGCGTTTGGGAGCCTCATCAGCAGCTGATCTGGGTCTGCGGGTCGGCCTGCTGAGCTTCCTTCACTATGATTAATCCTCTACTTTTACAGCAAGAGTCTCGCTTTGCAGATCTGGGCCACTGGCGGCCCTCCTCTGTGATAATATGAGCTGTATTATTTGATTTGATTTGATTTATTCATTCAAGCATGTAAAACAGTTGATATGTCAACACATGTAA